AGAACTAATAAATGAATTCAATACAGTTGCAGAATACAAAACCACATGAAGTCATTTGCATTTCTAACACTAAGAATGAACAATCTGAAAAGGAATTTAAAGAAATAACTCCATTTCAAAGATAATAACATCAAATAACATAAGAAAAGAACAAAATACTTAGGAATAAACCAAGGAGAAAAAAGACTTGCCCTGAAAACTACAAAACATTTATGAATGAAATTAAAGAAGATACAAATGAAAAGATACCTCATGTTCATAGACTGAAAGATTTAAAATTGTTAAAATTTCCACACTACCCAAAGTGATTTTGCAAAGAATTTAAAAAGGTACATTGAAAGGAAGGTGGCTTTCAATTCCAGAGCAGCTGTATAACAGGACTTCTGCTCAATTTGTAGCACTTTAGTGGAACAGTGTTGTCCCCAATTGGCAACTTTGACAATAGTTAGATAAAATCTAAAAATATTGTCTTGAAGAGGATTTTGTACCATTGAAATATATGCCAAGGAACCTAAACAAGATGAATAAAAGAGAGGAAAACTGTGGTTGTGGTGTCCATTCTGTTGGATTTCCCTGGCCTCCTAGAACCATAAGAGTAATGTATTTATTCAACTAGCGATAATTGAACACATATTGTAATTATGTGCCAGGCATTGTTCTCAGTGCAAGACAGACAAGATGCAATTTTCCCAGTATCTGCATTCTATTGGGGATGTGGGGCATAAAAAAATCACTCCAAATAATAATGAGTGCTGAAGGAGAAGAAAACAGGGCAGTATGCTAGGTTTGATGATTCAACACTTTTACATAAGCTTCACTGAAGAGATAATATTTGAAATGAGAACTGAACATGAAGAAGGAGCAAACTATGCAACTATCTAAGGGCAAAGGTTCAACAGTCATAAAGACCCTATGAAGGGAACAAGTTTGACATAATTCCAGGAAAGAAAAGTCATTGTAGACAAAGCATATTGATGCAAGTACCAAGTAGCAGGAAGTGAAGGGAAAGATATAGATATAGCCAGGATCCAGAGTGTGTAAGCCAAACTAGTTGGTTGAGTGTTTATTTTAAAGTATTTGAGTGTCTTAAGTAAAATGAGTGTCATAGTCCAATTTGCATGGCTTACAATATCACTTTGGCTGCAGTATGGAGAATGGAAAGGGCAGGGGAGCAGCAAAAATGGGAACATGAATCTGGTTGTGGTAATCACCTGTAATCCCAGCACATTGGGAGGCTGAGGCAGGAGGATTGCAAGTTCAAGGCCAGCCTCAGCATCTTAGCAAGACCCTGTCTCAAATTTAAGAAAAAGGGCTAGGGATGTGGTTCACGGATAGGGCACCCCTGGGTTCAATCTCCAGTATCTCTAAAAGAAGAAACATGTGGGAACATAAAGATCAGTTAGGAAGCTCTTTCTGATAGTATATCTGATATTGCTGTGGCAGCAGTTGTAGAATGGTAAAATCGAAGAGCTTCAGAATATATTTTATCAGTAAAGATGAGTAGATAGATACAGTGTTTTGGATGGGGAAATACAAAAACTTAGGATAATTCTCAGGTGTTTTGGTTGAGTAGCTATGCGCAAGGCTAAGATATGGGGATGACTGGAGTAGTGCAAATAGGATGTAAAGTTAGTTTTGGAATGCCTGACATCCATATTGAAATGTATTGGCGCTCAAGCTAGAGATGAACTCTGGAGTGTAAGTTTGGATGCCACCAGTGTATAGATGGTAGGACTAGATGAAATTACTTAGGGAAAGATTACAGATTAAATAGAGGGCTGAAAGTGGAGCTCTGGGTTACTCCAACATTTAGAGTATTAGCAAAGGAGCACTAGTAATGGAAAGTAAAGTACTAGAAAAATGTGTGGAGTTATGGAAGCCAAAAAAGAAATGAGTTCTATCAAGCACTGAGTAAGTTGAAACTAGGGAATGGACATTGGATATTACTAGAAGATAGGGGGATTGATAGTAATACATGTCTATTTGTTGCATATTTTCTCAGTGCAAGGCATTATGTTAAGAAAATTTTTATACTGGTTATTTCATTTTGTCCTCACTACAACTCCAGGAGGTTGATACTATTAATATATCCTTTTTACACATAATGAAACTGAGGCATAGAGAGGTCAGGCTATGTGTCCAAGGTGGACATTAAGGTCTGAAATTAGGATTGGACTCAGGGAGTCTGACCTAAGCAGCCATACTGTTGCTTTTCTTTTTTTTTTTTTTTTAATTTTTAGTTGTAAATGGACACAATAACTTTATTGTATTTATTCATTTTTATGTGGTGCTGAGGATCGAACCCAGTGCCTCATGCATGCGAGGCAAGCGCTCTACCACTGAGCCACACCTCCAGCCTCTATACTGTTGCTTTTCTATGATTGTTCCACTTGGGTCTGGAGAGGGCTTTATGAATGGTTTTTAAAAACTGGTAAATTTCACTTACAATAAAATTCACTGTTTAAACCATTTAAAAGTGTATAGTTCAGGAAAATTAAGTACATTCACAATGTTATGCAATCATCATTTCTACCTGTTTCTACTCATGAACAAAGAACACAACCAGAGGTTACAGGAGGCATGCTTTGTAGTATAAAGAGTGTGGGCTGACCCTTGGTACCTCTGGGAGAATGTGACTGGCTTCTTTGAAAACTTTTGAGAGGTTGCAGGAAAATGCAACCTGCTACTCAAGGATAAGAAAGAACTACATTTGGTCCTCTTGTTAAAGAGGGCTATTGGCTCAGGTGTGGAGAGTGTTTGAGCCTCACTGTTCCTTTATCAAAGTGTAGTGTCCTACCTGTCTCTGTGTTTTTCTCCATCTTTAGTCACCCCTACTTGAGAATCCTTTGTTGATGCTGTGTGAGGTCCTCATCCACAGGAGCAGAGAGGGAAACTTGTGATTATGCCATTTGAAGTCCTTCCTATTTCACTGGATATCAAAGAAGTATATAATATTGGGCCTCTATTGGGGGCTTTATGCCATCAAAGTTATAAATCAAGCAACAAAGTAGAAAGTGGAAGGAAGAGATAGAGTAACAAGGGAGAACAAAACTATCTGCCAGGTGTGTCAGTGCCTCCTATAGGAGCTCTAGACCTGAACTCTAATGATGCAGTTCCTGTGATTAGGTTTTCCCTCAGTTTGTCTTTAGATTATAATTCCTAGAACCTTTATTCCCAATTAGTATAGAATTTAGTGTTATACTTGAAACTTAGGCAACCATTCCAAGTTTATGGGTAATTTAAACTTTCATATTAGAATAGTTTTACAGAATAGTTGCATAGGTAGTACAGAGTTCCCATATATCTTATATGCAATTTCTCCTATTAACATCTTATATGAATAGGCTATATTTGTTACAGTTTATGAGTCAATACTGTTGGCTCATATTTTCCCCATAATTTTTATTGGTGCTTTATAGTTGCACATAATGTTGGAATTTGTTATATATTCATACATGCACACAATATAACAATATAATTTGGACAATATAATTCCCTGGTATTTCCCCCTTTTTCTCTCCTCCTTCCTCTCCCCTGGTCCTCTTCCTCTATAATACTGATGTCCCTTCAATTTTCTTTCTTTGTTTCTTTCCTTCCTCCCCCAGCCCCCCATAACAGGGATTGAACCCCAGGGGTGCTTAACCACTGAGCCACATCCCTAGCTCCTTTTTATATCTTATTTAAAGACAGGGTCTTGCTGAGTTGCTTAGGGCCTTGCTAGGTTGCCCAGACTGGCTTTGAACTTGCAGTCCTCCTGCTTTAGCCTCCTGAGTTGCTGGAATCTTTTTGATTTTCATGAGACCCCTTCCCACACACCTTTCTTTTCCTTTTCTGAATTATTTTAAATAAAATCCATACTTCATTTTGATTTCCTCAGTTTTCACCTAAGTCTCTTTTCTGTTCTTGGACCCAGATCATCATGTTACATTTCATTGTCCCAAATTCTCTAGGTACCACTTAGCTGTGATACTTTCTTAGATTTGCCTTGTTTGCGTTTTTTTTTTTTTTTTTTTTTTTTGTGGTACCAGGAATTGAACCCAGGGGCACTTAACCACTGAGCCACATCCCCAACCCTTTCTATCTTAAAATTTTGAGACATGGTCTCAAACTTTCTTAACCTAGTGCCTCACTAAGTTACTGAGGCCAGTTTTGAACTTGATATTCTCCTGCCTCAGCCTCCCAAGCTGCTGGGATTACAGGCATGCACCACTGCATCTGGCCATTTGCCTTGTTTTTGATGACCTTGACAGACTTGAGAAATACTGGTCAGGAATTTTGCAGAATAATGTCTACTGCCATTCTCATTATTAAACTGAGGTTATAGGTTTTGGAAACCACATGGGGAAACTGCCATTTCATCACATCATATCAAGGGTACATGTTATCATTATTGTAATAGTACTTTATGCTTTGAATATAGTCCTTGTTTCTGTGCCACTGCAACTTATTTTTTAAATGGACATGTTTCTTTCCTCTTCCTCTCTCCCTCCTCCTTAATCTCAGGGGAAGCAGGATTTTCTTTCTTTTGCGTCCTAGGCAAAGTTATCTATCCTTAAGCATACACCCACCACAGGAATTCAGACTTTGGAGATGGCACCAGAAGATCTCAGAAATGACTACCTCCCAAATTAACAAGTGAATTACAATTCAGAGAACACATTGACTGTAGCCTTTGAACCACCTCTTTAAAAGCTCCTTGCTTGGCAGAATCACAGTCTCTGGGACAGGAGTCCCCTGTGTTTCTCCTTTGCTAGCAAAGCAATAAACTTTTTCCTTTTTCTCAAAACCTTATCCTCATTATTGGATTCCACTGGGGACAAGGACCGAGTTTTTGGTAACAATATGACTTATCACTGATGATGTTTGGAATTCTTCTGCATAGTAGATTTGTCTTCTTCCCAATGTATTTATTTGTTCAGTAATTTATATAAATATGGATACACTGATATTTATTTTGCTTTTCATTATAACCAATAACACTTTAATGTTTTGTTTTTCAGCTTGCTCAAATTTGGCTATTGTGAGCTCTGGAAGTTTGTTCCTGTGTTCCTTTGATATATTCCTATCAACAAGGTGGTTTGCTTTTTTTTTTTTTTTTTTTTTTAAGCACTTCCTTGCTTTCTGGTACTGAAAGATGTTCTAGGTTCATATTATATATTTTACACCAGTCCTAGTCTCAGCCCTTTCTCCAAGCAACTCTGGTTCCTTTAGTCAAATAATGTTAAAAGAAACCAAGTCTGTGTGCTAGTCAAGCTCATAGCTACTGGAGTGTTTTTAATACTGGAGTGTTTTCTATATCTCAGAGATAGTCAGACATACGTTGTTATTTTCTTGTCCCTCCTCCCTCCCAATTTCCTTCCTCTGTTCCACTGTTCTCCCTTCTATTTTCATGGAATCCCCACCCCCAACTTCTTTTTCTTTTTGGACTAGCTTTTGCATATGAGAGGAAATATTCACATACTTTGACCTTAGATTCTTCTCTTGTTCTCATCTCTCTTTTTTTCCTGGGAGGTACTATCTCCAATTCCTCACTATCTGTCTACTTCACAACCTGCTATAATTTGCCTGTATACCTTAGCTTTACACTGAAACACTGTGCTAAAGGGTCTGTGTTAGATGAAAGACTTAGGCCCTTTGCATGTTCATGGAAAGTTTTAGTTTGCAGGGTAATTAAATTCCATCTCAAGTTTGTAAATTTAGTTAAAATAGGACTTTCCCATCTATTACCTCATTTGATCCTTACAAGTATCCATATATTTCTCTTTATTTGAAGTAGCTATTCCTCCATTAATTTAGTCCATCATGAATTTTCCTGAAAGCTCGAGATAGCACTTTACCCAAACTCCATCCAAACCCTAAGAATTGTTCTCTAGTTTCACAAAACCCCTAGGAAATCAGCCAAACAATGTGCTATTTCAAATTCCAGGTGCCTTACACATCTATTCTATTCCCACCAGACCAGAGTCATAGAAGACACTAATGCTTTGACTCCTATCTTACTACAATTACCTTTGACTCTTTAGCTAATCATGGCACCAAACATTCTTCTAAGGAAAATGTACGTATTTCTCATTCTTATAATTATCAACAACTAAATGAAAGGCAAATTACATATAGTTAAAGATATATTATAAATCTCGTAAAACAATAGGAAGGCATTCTAAGAGAAGGACTGCTCTTAACCTTTGGCCCTCCCCAACAAAGTTGAAGGATGAGAATGTGATTCCTCTTCACCAGATACTGGATCCCACTTATTAATTGACTCTAATGATAAGAACAGCAAAATATTCATTAATACCTCATTTGCTGTTTGCATTGTAAAAACACACTTTTGTCCATTATGAGAAATTATGTAAATGAAGAGGCTGAGATTCTAAGTGATAGAAATGAAGGCAATATAAGCCTTATTAAGAATTGGGATTTCTGGGGCTTGGGTTGTGGCTCAGTGGTAGAGCATGTATGAGGCAGCACTGGATTTGATCCTCAGTACCACATAAAAATAAATAAATAAAGGTATTCTGTCCATCTACAATTAAAAAAAGTAAAAAAAAAAAGAATTGGTATTTCTACTACTATTATGGAGTATCAGAATTTGCTATTAGACTTAATATATTATGATATATTGTATCATGTCATAACTTGGAACACTCTAAATCTTACACTCCAGAGTTCTATTTCCTGAACAATAGCTCCTCATTCCAGTATTCACCCACTTCCCCCCAATATCTTTCCTCTTTCTATTGTAGCAAAGTATATAGAATATTGGGCTGGGGTATAGTTCAGTAGTAGAGCACTTGCATAGCATATGAGATAACCTGGGTTAAATCCTTGACACCACATGCACAATAATACAGAATATGAAATTTACTACTTTAATCATTTTAAGTGTATAATTCAGTGGCATTAAATACATTCTCAATGTTACAAAATCATTGCCACTATTCATTTCCAGAACCTGTTTATCACCAAAACAAAAACTCTGTACCCATTAAACTCCCCATTTCTCTTGTTCCTGGTTGTTCCATTCTACTTTCTGTCTCAATGGCTTTTCTTATTTTAAATTCTTCATATAAGTGGAATCATATGGCATTTGTCCTTCTTTTGGTCTGATTTATTTTACTGAGCATGTTTTCAAGGTTCATTCAAGTTGTAGTATGTAACAGAATTTCATTCCTTTTAAAGGCTGACTATTATTCCATAGTAAGTATACATCACATTTTGTTTATCCATCATCTGTTGGATATTTGGGTCGTTTCCAACTTTTAGCTATTGTGAATAATGCCTCTATGAACATTGGTATACAAGAATTTGTTTGTATCCCTGCTTTTCATCCTTTTGAGCATATATTTGGGAATAGAATGATCATATGGCAATTATATTTTTAACTTTTGAAGAACTGCCAAACCATTTTCCAGAGCAGCTGCACCATTCCACACATCCACCAATGATGTAAAAGTGTTTTGATTTCTCCACATCCTCACCAAGACTGGTCATTTTCCTTTTTTAATAAAAAAATATATTAAGCCAGGTGTGGTGGTACACAGCTATAATCCCAGGGAGGCTGAGGCAAGAGGATTTCAAGTTCAAAGCCAGCCTCAGAACTTAGCAAGGCCCTAAGCAACTTAGTGAGACCCTGTCTCAAAATAAAAAATAAACAGGGCTAGAGATATGGCTCAGTAGTTAAGCATCCTAGGTTCAATCCACAGTATCCTTCTCCCCAAATTGTTTTAAAATATATATAACAAAATTCATCATTGGGTCAACCTGGCTGAACCATGGTGCCCAGATAATGGTGAAATGTTATTCTGCATGTTTTTGTGAAGGTGTCCTTGGATGGCATTAACATTTAAATTGGTAGGTTTTCGGTAAAGCAAATTGCTCTCCATAATGTGGGTAGGCCTCATATAATCAGGTGAAGGACTGAACAGAACAAAAAGACTGACCTACTCTAAACTAAGAGTATATTCTGGTTGGGCGCTGTGGTGCACGCCTGTAACCCCAGTGGCTTTGGAGGCTGAGACAGGAGGATCATGAGTTCAAAGGCAGCCTCAGCAAAAGTGAGGCACTAAGCAACTCAGTGAAACCGAGTCTCAAAATGTAAAATAGGGCTAGGGATGTGGCTCAGTGGTTGAGTGCCCCTGAGTTCAATCCCTGGTACCTGCCTCCCCCACAAAAAAGTATATTCTGTAGTAGTTTTTCAACTTGAACTGCAACAGTGGATCTCTGCTGGGGCTATAGCCTGATAACCTTTAGGCTTGAAATATAACAGCTCATCCTTGGGTCTCCAGCCTACTAGCTAATACTGGAGATTCTGGAATTGCCAGTCTCCACAATTGTGTCAGCCAATTCTTTAAAACAGATCCTTTAGACTGTTTACATTTCTCACCTTCAATTATCATTACCTTCAAGTTCACTGAAATGAACTCCAAGTTTTTCTACCTGCTTAAATTTGTTATTGAATGTGTTTAGTAAATTTTTTTATTTTAATAATCTGTTTTTTTCAGCTCCAGAATTAGCTCTTTTCCTTCTAATAATTTTTATCTCTTCACTGCTATACTCATTTTGTTCTTACATTGTTTACCTGATTTCCTCTCATTCTTTATGCATGTTTTTATTTATTTATTTATTGGTACTGGGGATTAAACTCAGGGACACTTGACCATTGAGCCACATCCCCAGCCCTATTTTGCATTTTATTTAGAGACAGTCTCACTGAATTGTTTAGCATCTCGCTTTTGCTGAGGCTGGCTTTGAACTCATAATCCTCTTGCCTCTGCCTCCTGAGCTGCTGGAATTATAGGCTGTGCCATTGCACCTGGCCATTTTCCTTTATTTTTAAAGCATATTTAAGACTGGTGTTTGAACATCTTTCTCTAGTAAGTTCTATATCTGGGCTTCCTCAGGCTAATTTTTGTCAATTTATTTTGTCCTTTTGAATAGACCATTTTTTTTTTGTTTCTCTGTATAGCATTGTAATTTTCTTATTGAGAATTGAGCATTTAATTACTTAAGTTGTAAATCATATTCTCTATCTTCCCTAGGTTAATTTTTGTTATTATTCAAAGTTATAGTGATATGTGTGTTTTAGAACTTTTTTGAACTTTACAAAGATTATTCCTTGTCATGTATATCCACTGGTGTCTTTGTTTCTTTAGCTCATGTTCAGCTAATGTTTTGACAGAGATGTCCTTGAATGCTAGGAGCTCTCCAAATCTTTGCATATTGGCTCTGTGCCATCTAAGGTTGTTTCTGAGAATACATCCTTCCTCATCATGCTTGTGTCTTTTTTTTTTTTTTAGTTGTAGTTGGACACAATACCTTAATTTTATTTATTTTTATGTGGTGCTGAGGATCGAACTCAGTGCTAGGTGAGTGCTCTACTGCTGAGCCACAACCCCAGCCCCCATGCTTGTGTTTTTTTCAGCTTTTCCCAGAGGACTGAATTTCTCTAAGTTCCTTACAGTTCTACAAGTAGTACCTGCTGCCTTCCCCCTCTTAGATCACATGAGGCAAAGATGAGTGCCTTGCATCATTTAACTATCCCCCATGTAGGATAGAACAGGTGTGCACAATAATTTGCAAATAAGGTGTGTTCTGCTTCTTTTTGTTTAAGGGAAGAACTGAGAACCTGTGTTGCTTCTTCAAGACCAAATCTGCCAACCACTTCAGTGGGAAGGACATGGATCAAGGGCAAGTAAAACACCACAAAACATCCTATTATTTTAAAGGTAACTTTTTTTTTTTTTAGAGAGAGAGAGAATTTTTTAATATTTATTTTTCAGTTTTTGGTGGACACAACATCTTTATTTTATTTTTATGTGGTGCTGAGGATTGAACCCAGCACCCCGCCCAAGCCAAGTGAGTGTGTTACCGCTTGAGCCACATCCCCAGCCCTTGAAGGTAACTTTTTTTGATTGTGTATTTGCTTGGTTGCTGTTAATCTTTGACTATTTTCCAGACTCTGGCAAAGTTGGTTCAGATAGCTCCTACTTGTTTTTTTTTTTTTTTTTTTTTTTTGAGGGGGGGGTTGTTTTGTTTTGCTTTTTATGTTTATTTGAGGAAAGAGGGCCTAGAGCTTCCTATCATACAGTTTTGCAGCTGTTATTCAATACCTCTACTATTACAATGCATTGAATAGTTGCACTCTCTGAACTTTTCTTCCATTAGTGAAACTCCCTTTTTGCTTTACTGAGCCACTGTTGATTGTAGGGTCTTTTATATCAGTCATTGAACTATTGGTGGAGTATAAGGGAAAAAAGAGTTATTGTTGGCAAATACAACAGATTGACCCACATTGCATTAAACAAATTCTTCTACATCTTTACCTTTTATACAATAATCTTTCTCCTTCCCTTTCACTTAAAAATCTAGCTATTTCCCAAGGATTTGTCACCTGAATTACAACTCATTCAGTTACTAGGTTCACAAAGTTTATAAAGGCTTTCATGTATATGGATAAAGTCAACCAAAAAACAAAACCAGAAACGAACAAAAACCAACCAAACAAACAAACAAAAAAACCAAACCAAAAAACTGTATTATTAATCTCATTAATTTCCTGAAGGTGGCAGCCGAGTTCTACAAACTAGAACTGTAGCAGTGTCTAGGCTTCCTTCCCCTCCAGATTTGCAGAATAAATGTTTCCAAGGAGAATAGATATAAAATGCTTTTCTGCAACCTTCCAGCATTGATTATGATCCTTAAAATAATTGTTTATCAGTGTGATAGGTTAAAACTAGCATCTTGACAACGTTTTAGTTTTCATTTCTTTGATAATTAGGGAGGCTAAACATATTTTTGTGTTTCAAAGCATTTCTCTTCTTTAAATGATTTTCATATTCTTTACCCTGTATTTATATTGGGATTCAATTTTGTAGCCTTCACCTTTTCTCATTATGAAAATAATATGTTCACACTGTCGAGATTCAAATGAACTTAGAAGAAATTTTCAAACATTCACATTCATAATATCAGAGACAACAACTTTAATGTTTAGATACATTTTTACTAGCTCCCCCCCATCTGTTTAGTTAGTTATATTTTTCACATTTAACATAAATTTTCTCTATAACCTGCTTTTAAATATAATTGTATGGTGATATTTCTCTAAGCCATTAATAATTCTTGTGTATATTTAAAAATAGCTTTAGTTTTTGATTTTAAAAATTATTCATGATCACTGTTGACAATTTGGTAGGTACAGGAAAATTTAATATGGACAACAATGTATATTCCCTCAACCTATGAATAACTATTATGAAGCTTTTTTTAGTGGTATCACTAGCCCTTATGTATATTTTGAAATCACCAGATAAAAATTAGCCCTACATTTAGAGTAATTTCAAAAAATGAAGTAGCATTCATATTCCTTATTATCAAACTTTTGATGTATTTTCCCAACCATTTTTCTGTGCAAGTATTGCACATTTTTATTTTATTGGCATCATACAGTAATCTATATTTTACATGTATTATTTAGTTTTATATACATGCCACTGAAACAATTTTCCAAGGGTATCTTTTGTGCTCTATAATAATTTATTGTTTAATCACATATTCCATTTCTATGAATATTGAAATTCCCCCCCATTTCACTATTAGAAGCTATGCTGTAAAGAATTTTTGAGTATAAACATCTTCTGCATTTCTGATTTTTACCTTATTAAGAGTCCCCAGTGTGGAATAACTGAAAAAAATGTTTTGACCATTTTATCAAATACCATAGCAATTTAGATTTATGTAAATGGTTCTTTCTTTGCATCCTAGATAATATTTAATAGTTTAATTCTTAGTATTTATACTTTTTAAGGTTGGAAACTATGCCCTAATATTGTATTAATTTAAAAATCTATTAATTGTTTTCAAGTTTATTAGGAACCTGATGAATTTTTTCATATCCATTTCCTATTTATTATGTTAAATAGTTCTTTAAAATCTTTTGTTTCCTTGCATTACCTTATATATATTAAGATTTAATTAGAGATAAGTTTCCTTTTGGATTGCTTTATGATGGAATGTCTTAACATATGTATTTCATTTTGTCGGGTTTTAAATGTAATTACTGATTATTGTTAAGTTATTAAAATATAGAATTTTTAAAAAAATATTTATTTTTTAGGTGTAGATGGACACAACACAATGCCTTTATTTTTATGTGGTGCTGAGGATCGAACCCAGGTTCCGCCCGTGCTAGGCGAGCGCTCTACCGCTGAGCTACAATCCCAGCCCAAAATATAGAATTTTTAAAAAGAGAAATGAAAACCAACAGACATTTGCAGATAATGCATTGATATTTAGTGTATTGTTTTACATTTTTCAGAGAGAAAGAAACATTGAAATCATGGTCTAATTCTTGGAGGTAGGAATTACATTTAGTATGGTCTAACCTGGGATTATAGGTTTTATAATGTGGTAAATTAAGTCCTCCTCCCAGAATCAGATATGCTTCATATAAAGATCCAAAACCATGTGTACTACTCTACTCACAGAGTTTTGCTAACAGTATAGGGGTGGCAGTAAACACATCAGCTATAACCATCAGAGACCCTCCTAATGCTGGTAGTAAGAACAACAATATTTATTGAATTCTTGGTATATGTCAGGCACTGAAACCACAACTTTACATAAATAACTCATTTAATTCTCACAATAACTCTGTGAAATATGTACTATTATTAGCCGCATTTTATAGATGGGGGGATCAAGGGATAGCTGGAGTAGCAAAGAGATCCCAGGAACTGAGCTGTCCAGATGCAAATCTGAGAGCAGAGGAACCTTATGTTCATCACATTTTGGAGATAATTACTCTTATCAAGATAGATATTTCTTTTTTAAAAATCTTTATTTTTCATTTTTATGTGGTGCTGAGGATCGAACCCAGTGCCCCATGCATACAAGGCCAGTTGTCTACCACTGAGCCAACCCAAGATAGATATTTCTTTATGTCAGAAAGTACAAAGGTATATAGGGGATAGGAATAGGAAAGACAGTGGAATTAGTCTGACATAACTTTCCTATGTACATATATGAATACACCACAGTGAATCTTACCACCGTGTACATCCACAAGACTGAAATCCTAATTAAAATAAAATATATCCCATGCTTATATAAATATATAAGAATGGATTGTACTGTCATGTATAACTAAAAAGAACTACTAAAAAATAAACAGATGCATTAATGACATTTTGGTAGGAAAAAAAGAGTATTAGGAAGCCTAGGCATGTGGTGGAGAAGGGAAGAATAGAGGTAGTGGTATGGGAGTTGAAAGTGATTAGAGAGGAAAGTAGGGTATTCAAAGACAAGCTATATTTACTGTTCAAGTCATTGTTTTCTGAATGAAAATAATTATTTGCTAAAATTAAAATAATTATATTTAAAAAATTTAAATAATTTTTAAAATTAAGAATGTGATGATGACTGAAACTGGGGGAAATGGACACTCATAGTTGATGAAAGAATATAAGTTGGACAAAATCTCTCAAGCTAATATGAGTAAGAGTCAAAAATTTAAAAAGTTTATTAAATATTTGTTGAGTAACTTCTTTGTGCCAAGCAATATGCACACTGAATTCATTTAAATATTATATTATATTTAATGAATAAAATTGTCACAGGTCTAAAAGTTGGATTTGAGTGTAGTAGAAAACTTGTCATTTTCTTTCAGAATTCCAAATGTGCACATTCCCTTGGACCAACATTTACACTAATAGAATAAATATTCTCCAGGTGTATATGCATTTTTCTAAATGACATATGTCTAAGGTTATTCTATGCAGGATTTTTGTTTACAATATAATATATTAGAGAAAAACAATTTAGATGAAGATCTTTATGTTCTACTGTTCATTTAATATTAGTAAAGCAGGGGAGGCTAAACAAATGTTGTATATATTTGGATATTCATATAATATATGTGGGAAAGAACACATAGAAACTAATACAAGTTGAATGAAGTCTATCTCCCTTTTATGTTCTTTTAAAAAAATTTTTTTTAGTTGTAGATGGACACAATACCTTTATTTTATTATTTTATTTATTTACATGGTGCTGAGGATCCAACCCAGTGCCTCACACGTGTAAGGGAAGCATACTACCACTGAGCCACAATCCCAGCCCCTCCCTTTTATGTTCTAATTGAAGAATGATTTATGGAGCTTATGTGTACTAGATAACTGGAAGAAGACTGTTGTTCTGAGAGAGAGGCACAGGAGAGTTTTAGCTCCAAATCGAAAAGGCATCTGGGAAGCCAGACAATAACAACCACATATTGTGTTATTACATTTAAAAATATCCAGAAGATTGTAACTCCACCTTCTTGAGAGACTGAGGCAGGAGGATGGCAAGTTCAAAGCAAGCCTCAGCAATTTAGCAAGGCCCTGAACAACTTAGTGAGAATCTGTCTCTAAATAAATAAATAAATAAAATAAGCAAAATGGCTGGGGATGTGGCTCAGTGATTAAGTGCCCCTGGGTTCAATCCTGGGTACCAAAACACAAAAACAAAAACTCAAACAAACAAAACAAAAAAACAATCCAGAAGAGCAGGCATGGTGGCACATGCTTTAGTACCAGCTGCTTGGGAGTCTGAGGCAGGAGCATTGAGTTGGAGGCCAGCATGGGCCTCCAGGAAATCGAGAAGAGGCCAATCTATAGACAATAAAAGCATTGCTCAGGGCTGGCGATGAGAATATGCAGTGGATGTAAATGAGCACTAGGGATCTTTCTGGGATAACGGAAATATTCTAAGTTTAGATAGTGTTGATGGTTGCACAAGTTCACGAGTATACTATTGAATCGTACAATTAAAGTGGGAGGATATTATGGTATATAAATTATACCTCAATAAAGTTGTTAAAAACAAACAAACAAAAAACAAGCCACCATATCTAATAAAAGAATTTTAAAACAGGACTCTGGACTGTGAAAGAAGAAAGTTGACCAAAGAATCAATTGTGAGAGCAGCAGCAACTCCAGGAAACCAATTGTCAGTGAAAATAACCTCAGGATTCATAGAGAGGCTTTAGTTCTTGGAAAGACTTGCAAAGGTCCAGGCAGGTGCTTTAATGATCGGCCCCAAACTCCTGTTCTTCCTCGGTAATCTCCCCATCCTCAGAAGTTATACTTTTAATATAATTAGAACAGGGTGCAATATATGATAGTGGTGTCTGGTACAAAGTAAGTGTTAAGTAAATGTCACCTGTTATTATCTTTTCCATCCAGATTATTAAAACAAGCTCTTTATTCAATCTCCTTGTATTAAGTCTCTCTCATTCCTCTAGTTCATCATTTTACCAGCCACTTGATATACCTTACCTCAAAGAACATGTCACTGCAGCAGGCAATGCATGATGGGCTGGATTGCTCCCTGAACAAGTCTGGAGAAATGCTTGGAGACCCCGAGTTACCCAGCAATGAATATCATTCATGTTGAACAAAAGCAGGGACTTAATAATGTTTAATTTTACCCAAGGGCCAATTAAGAAATACTTTCACTTTTTTGTTTTCTAGGAAACATTGCAAAGAACCACCCTCCCCCTGTTACTTGGATAAGACCTCCTTGTTTACCTACAGACGCAGACCCTCCAAATTCCCATTCTTTGCCTCCCAAGTGATTAGATAAACTGTACTCGCTGACAAATCAGGACAATATACCTGCTCCCTTGATTTGACTAAAGTTAGTTAAGTTTTTCTGCTTACCCCAGGCCCTTTAATTTTGACCCATCCTTGGTTGAGCCAACACACAATGACTCTTTAATGGCTCATTTCTTAGGGGGGAAAAATTCACTGTCCAATCCCCATACTATTTCATTCCAGTTCTCCCCTCCTAGTTCTTTCCGTCCTTGTTCATTTCTCCTTACAAAAGAACAGCTAACAATTTAAATTTAATTAAAAAAGGATAGAGAACTGTGTCCTTAAAAGAACAGGAGAGTAGGATACAGACATGCATGTGCATAGAAGAATGACCATGTTTGAGCACAGTTGGAAACTGGACATCTGCAAGCCATGAAAAGAGGACTCAGAAAAAACCAAACCTACCAACATCTGGATCTCTGTCCTCAAGAACTGTGAGCAAATAAAATTCTGTTGTTTAAGCCACCCAGTCTCTGGTATTTTGTTGTGACAGGCCTAGCAAACTAAGACACTTCTCAAATTTGTTTGTTATTCTTACATAGGAGCACTGTGTATTGTTTTATTATTTAGCATATGTGCTGTCAAAGTGAAGAAATATACATGATTTTTTCATTTGAAGCTATGCCCCTCCATGCCTACAGCTTTTCCTGCTTTATCTTCAGATCCCCTTTTTTTCTTTTTGCTTAGTGAACCTCACAGGACAACTTTGAAATAAATAGATGAGTGTAAGGAAATATAGTAGAGTCGAGGAAGGAGAACAGGGGAGGGGAGGGAAGACGTTAGGGAAGATGGAAAGGGAAAAGGGGGGATCATGAACTGAAATCAAATTCCATGCGTGTATGAGTTTATGGGGATGAACCTAACTACTGTATATAACTGTAAAGCTCTAATAATAAAAAACGAATGAATAAGAAAAGAAAGACAGCCTTGAAAACAGAAGACAAAAAAAATTGATGGTCAAATTGATAGAAGTCCTGTACTGTTGTCTTTTCTTCAACCCCTTAAGTGAACAATGCAGCTTGCTTCTTTTCTAATCATACTAAAAAATAATTCCTGAAAGTTGGAGATATTGGATAAGAGGACAGAGAAGGAGTTGGTCATTAAAGTAATAGCTTGGTCTACTACAAAGTCTTTCCAAGACCTAAAGCCATTCCGTGAGTCGTGAGGTCATTTTCAAGGACAGTTGATATTCTTGGTGCTGCTGCTACTCTTATAAGTGCTTCCTTCTTTGACTTTTTTTCTCTAATAGACTGAATTTGTATTTAGACTCCTTCATGCCTCACCTTCAGGGCCCTAGTCTTTCTCCTTTTTACCCAGTACACATGAAAAAATTCAAACAGAATGTTAAAGGGAGAGAATTTTTAGTTAGAAAAATCAGATAGAGATAAATAACTCAATAGAGCTAAAGCCTCCAATTTTTCCTGAGCTCCACCACTGTTTTTGGTTTTGTGTGTTGGGGATAGAACCCAGGGCCATATTCAGCACATATTCTATCATTGGGCTACATTTCCAGTCACTCCACACATTTTTTGTTTTTTAAGACAGGGTCTCACTATGTTGCCCAGGCTGATCTCAAACTCCTGGACTCAATCCATCCTCCTGCCTCAGCTTCCCAAGTAGCTGGAACTACAGGTGTGTACCACCATGACTGGCTTTTAGAATGTCTTAATTAATTAATTAGTATCCTCTAGCCTAACACCAGGAGCACATCTATAGTTGAACATGTTGAGTTTATTACTCATTGCAGCATAAGCGATGTTATTTCATTTAGCAGATATTTGAGAGGCTTCATAACAGGACATGGGCTTGTTCTAGGTAATTGAGGGTGGGTTTAAGGAAGAAAGACTCTGGAAGCTGGTCATGGCGTTGCACACCTATAATCACAGCAATTTGGGAGGCTGAGGCGGGAGGATCACGAGTTCAAAGCCAGCCTCAGCAAAAAGCGAGGCACTAAGCAACTCAGTGAGACCCTGTGTCTAAATAGAATACAAAATAGGGCTGAGGATGTGGCTCAGTGGTCAAGAGACTCTGAGTTCAATCCTCAGTATCAAAAAAAAAAAAAAAAAAAAAGGATTTGATGCTATTAAGAAATGGAGATTAGGGGCTGGGGCTGTAGCTCAGTGGCAGAGTGCTTGCCTAGCATGCATGAGGCATTCATTGGGTTCAATCCTCTGCACCACATAAAAATAAACAAATAAAATAAAAGCATTCTGTCCATCTACAACTACAAAAAATTTTTTAAAAAATAAATGGAGATTATTCTATGATTGGGTATCTCAATAACTTATCTAAAGGGAAGGACGAGTTTGTGAGGCTAATGTTGTAGTTGGTGAAGAGTGGGAGTTACTTATTTTAGCTGAGAAGAAGACATTTTCATATTTTGAAGATTGTAAAATGGCGTAGTTTTTGTTTGTGCTTAGAAAAATTTAAAGAGTAATCTTGTTTAATTTTACTTTTTCATAGTCTCAGATTGACCTTGTCTGATGTTGGTATTTTATGAAATTGTTTGTGACCACCAGGAGAATAACAAGACTTTGCTGTGAATAACAGGCAAGCTTCCAACAGTGTCAAACCAATTCTTGAAAATCAGTGGAGGCTTTTTTCTTCCTCAAGTTCACACACACACACACACACACACACACATGCATACACATATATATGTATAGGTATGTATATCTCAACCACTTGGTAACTTTAACATTTACTCTGTGTTGTTCCCCCATTCTGTCTCTTTGCTTCATCCCTGGAGCTAACTACTGTCATGTATTTTCTGATTATTATTCTTTTTTAAAGTTTCATATCTAAGCTTAAAATTTATATTGTATAATTTTGCATTTTTTAATTAAGTAATTCGCTTAAAAAGAATATTGTGTTATATATTTTTTTCAGGGCTTGGTTTTCTCACATAGTGTTATTTTACTATTATCAATCTATGTTGCTGCATGTAGTTCTATTTCATTCCTTTACATTGTTGTATATTATTCCATTATACAAATTTGTCATATTTTGTTATGAATTATTCTGTTCTTGGGAATTTGTTATTTTAAAGTTTTGGCTTTTACAAATAGTATATATATATATATATATATATATCCTTATTATTGACTCCTTCCCTATATATTAAAAGGTTTCTTTTGTAAGAAGAGGAATTGCTAGTTCATATATATGTGAATGTTTAATGTTCAATTCTGGAAACTAATATCAAATTGTTTTCAAAAAACTTTGTATAAACTTACAGTCCTACCACTAATGTAGAAGAGAACCTAGTGATCCACATCCTCTCCCACATTTGGAATTACCACATTAGTTTTTGTTAAATGTATGCAAAATGGCATATCATTTTAATCATGATTTGCTTTTCTCAGATCACTAAGGAGAGTTTAATTCCATATATTTTATAGGCCTTATGTGTTTATTCTTGTGTGAAATGCTTTTTTTTTTCAAGTTTTTCCCATTTTTCTATTGGGTTATTTGTCTTTTTATTAGTGGTTTGTAGAAGTTCTTCACATTTTCTTGATTTTGATGCTTTAATATATCATCATTCAACTGTTGGTGGAGTATGAGGGAAAGAAAGTTAGTATTAGCAAATGCAACAGATTGACCCACGTTGCATTAAACAGACTCTTGTACTTCTTCCACAGTAACTTCCCACTTTTCTTAGAATAAAAGCAAAATCCTTACAGTGGAGTATAAACCTCTTGTTATTTTTTTTTTAAAAAAATTCATTTCATGGAAATGAAGATAGCAGAGTGGATCTAGACAGCAACCCTCAAGCCATCCACAGCCCAGAAAGGAAGCAGTGAAAGAACAGATCACTAGAGAGAGAGGTGGGTGATTCAATACTGGACAGTTTGAGACTTGATGGGACTTGGAGTTTGGTTACTGTAGCAGAAAATAAGGACAGAATTCCTTGACCTCTGTTTGGGGTTAGGGAGAGGGGTAATAAAGAGAGAATGAGGGAGAGGAAAAGCACATAAGCTCACTTCCCTAGCAACAGCTGGAAAGAAGAGCAGACCAAATCAAAATGGGACAGGAGCAGCAAAGATAGTGAAGGAGATCATGCAGTTTAACCCAAACTGTTGACTGAAAGCTGCGCCTGGCAGGGCTGTCATTTTGTAGAGTGCATAGCTAGCCAGCCTACCCAGAAATGTACAGACCCAAATTAAATCAATACAGCTTTTACCCGCCTACAGATAGTAATGAATAAAACCAAAGGGAATGCCTCTGAAACAGGTTGTCTCAGTAATCTGTCTAGAAGGAAATTGTAGAGGGATTGCTGCTAGCTGAAGGTTACCAAATCTAGTTGACCCGAGAGCTAATCACTCCTGGGGAATGTTATCCCCAATCTGATGCTTCACACAGCCTCAGCAGGAGCTCAGGTGATGGCAGACCAATTGACATCCTGTCTCCATCCCAGTGATGGGTAAAACCACAGTGAGCTGTACCAGCCAAGGTCTACAGATGACCCACAGAGAGTCTACACCCACAGTTCTCACAGTTTCAGCCAGCTACCAAATGCTTACATAGTGCCGCCCGCCTTGAAGAAGACCCAGCAGAGGGGAGCAAGTGCCTGCAATTCACAACCATGGGCAGTAGGAATTCAGACACAGGCAGGCCAACAGATTCTCCATTTCAGTCACGGGGACAGTACTCCAGTGATCTACATCAGACAGGTTGGAAGCTTCTGCAAAACAGAACACCCACAGAGATCCTGAAATCACAGGTCCCACGCTTGCAGATGGCCACCAATTCTATGCCCCTTTTAAAAAGGCCCTGTGGAGGGGAGCAGGTGCACAGCTTTCCATAGCAGTCAGCATCACAGCCATGAACCCTGCATCCTGTGCCCTCGCACATAATAGAAACAGTTAGCAGATGCATCACAGCACTCTCTAAGCATGCAGGCATGGGCCCTGGGCTGACAAACAAGAAACCACGGTGAGAAATCCATAGCAACTGGGGAAGTAGCTTCTGTGCCGCAGCACCTCTAGGATGATCCACAGCTGTTAGTCTGAGAATTTCCAGTTAATTCAATTCTCATTTAGATGTACAGGCCCACAGAAGGCAATTCCTGAGGATAATTCCAAGAAGCCAGTAGAGAATCTGTTGCATATACAATAACACTATATCCCACAAAGGGGCTTACAGAGGAGCAACTCACAAACACTGGCCACCAACTAGTGAGCTTAGATACAAGCCCACTGACCTGTAACCTGCGCACTCCAAGGAGGGCAGCAGCCTTACCCCACCCCCACCACAGACCATCCAATGCCACATCAAACAGACTATAATACCTCTACCTTGGACTGCCATACCTTGTATACTCCGAAATATACATGGGGTAGCCCACAATGGATTTGACAGTGCTGAATGCACAAAGCTACGCAAGACTACATGCCCTAACAGAGTAACTGGGCTGCTAAGTCATTATTAGAGACCATCTCCTCTGGCCCAACAGAAAGCTAGCA